GATTCAAATCACACAGATGCACCTAAGAATTACATCTGTCACAGATATAGTGGCTTCCTTTATATATATTTTTTCTATTTAGACTGCAGTTACCTGTTTTTAATAGACTGCCTGTTTGTATAATAATTCGAGGCACCATAGCAACTCTTTAGTTGCACATATAACTGTATTCCCAACGTGTATTCATTTTCCATCATCAAATTCACGTGTTTATGAAAACATCATCGTCACAAGTCATGTTTGATTTGTTTATTCGAGCGGTAAACTTTCATAGAGTCGTTAGCTTTTATTCAGCCTACAACAACTTCAGAAAACACAGAAGAGGTTAAAAAAAACAATGTTGCCAGAAGCTTCTGATACCAGGAAGCATTCACCAGCCCACCTTTGGGACCCCGACCCAGTCACTGATAACCGTGTATTAACCATCCTTTATTCTCAGACAGCCGGACGCCACAACCAATCAGGCAGTTTCATCTTTCCCCGCATCTCCCTGAGACAATTACCTCCAATTTTACTTCAATAACACTCCCCCTTCTCTGTCAGTAAACAATCAAATCGCTCCATTGTTGAGGGTAATTGGATCTCTTTAAATCAAATCAGCCATTATGGCCCTGATGAAGCATGCCCTGCTCAGCGGGAGTTAGCGACACATGAGGGAATGCAGCACAGGAATACATTACCAGCTCTGCCTCCCAGGTGAAGATAGCTATATTGGAGGAGTTGTGTAATACAGGTTTATTAGACTGTGCCGTGATCAGCACAGGGCTTGTTTCCCTCCTTGAGGACATGTTCGGGGTCTAGCTCACATTTCAGCGACAAAGAAAGTAGATATAAGAGTAGAGGGGAGATTGCACACTAGCATGTAGAGGTGCCACATTAGGGTTTTAAAATAGAATGAGTCACAACCCACTCGTAAAAAAAAATATCCGTCTTAATCCTCTCCTCAGCTCGATTATTTCTTCCATGTGCGTGCACTTATGATCACTGTGAGATTACATGAAATATTGCTATATAAAGTTTCTGGCTTTGACATTCAGTTTGGCTTCTGGTTGTTTGTACTACAATATGGTGAGTTATTAAACCCATTTGTATCTGTACTCTTTCTAACCATTTCTAATTATCCCTCGTTTAAATACGTTGGACTTACGAGAGATGGATTGTATACTTAGTAGTAAGTAAACTCCAGCGCTGCGCTTTAACAAGCGGTATCTCCAGCAGGGTAATGAGCACATCAAAAGATTAAGCTATAAAATGTGTTGAATTTTGTACTGACATTAGGAAAGTGCAGCAACTCCCTCTCATTTATATTAATCTATAATTCATCAATAAGCTTCTTGCAGGCTCTCGGTATCATATGCCTCTGTAGGAAAAAGGCCAGATTGTATTTGGCTAAAGTGGCGTCTGAGCGTAGCTTTGGTTTAATTTAGGCTCTGCGATTCATTTCCTCATGCAATATTAATATTTGTTTTATGATAAATGCTGTGAGCTGATAAAAACACAATAAAGCTCCCCAGAGACAAAACATTATCTTGTAAAAATTGGATTCAAAATATAATATGAATAATGTCTTATATATTTCACACCAAAACAGGTAACTTGGAAAAATCCTACAAAAACAGAATAAAGAAGTCAAAAACCGAAGCAAACAAACGGAAAGCCAGATAATGAGCATCGTCTCGTTTGAGATGAGATGCGTATTGGTGTGTATGCTTATCTGTACGCGTACGTGTCGTCTTGGTTTGTTGGGTGTGTTTGTGTGTATGGAGGATTTCTGTCTCAGCTCTTACTGATTATCGGGATGCAGCCTCTTCCTCTAACAAGACTGTTATTAGAAGGGTTGGAAATAACGAGGACCCATCCGTTTGATTCTTCAGCATTGCATCCGTCTCAGCGCAATGAATATGTAAGCAAAAACATTTGCTTTCTTTCATGAGTTTCTATGTCCTTGAGACATTACTTCTGATTGTCTCCATCTTCTACCCTTCCTCTTACAACCTCTTTCCCTCTCTCATTCCTTATAATCTGCTCACTCACACGTGGTCATGAATGCAGTTTTGGTGAGACTAAGAAGAACACACCTGTGTATGCAAACATGCACACAAGCAGGTGCACGCTCACAATATGCAAGCATATTTAGGCACATGCTGATGGCATCTTATCAGCACTTCTGTCTATAGGCAGAAGATATTTAGATTAATAGACTCAGATATGCTCTCATTTTGTCATTACTGTTATTACCTGCAGTCAGTCACTTGATAAATTAGTCACTAACTTTATCATACAGTCAGTCACTCAAGGAGTAAATTATCTGTCTGTCAGACAGTGAGTAAATAAGTCATGCAGTCAGGCAGTAAATAATTGAGTCACTCACTCAGAATTTAGTCAGATCATTAAATAAAGCAATTCGCCAGCAAATTAATCAATCATCAGCAAGCAAATCAGTCAAGAATTAGTCTGAGTGATTCAAGTCAGTCAAATAATGAGTCTTCATCTTGGAATGTAGCTTAACTGTGTCTCCACAGCCAAAAGACAGTGACCACTTAACCTCTGTTCAGCCTGCCGGCCTGTGATAACACTTGGCCAATTAACTCTCAACTCTATGCTTACAGATGGGTGTGTCTGTGTGTGTGTGTGTGTGTGTGTGTGTGTGTGTGTGTAAGAGAAAGAGAGTGAGAATATTAAATAAACAGGTGCTTATATAATGCCTTTCTACTCACTTTTATCCACACTAAAGTACTTTTAGCTGACACACACTCACAATTCAGTCGATGCGTCTCAGGGTTCAGTGCCTTGCTCAAGGATACTTTGATACATGGACAGAAGAAGCCGGGGTTCAATCCACCAACGTCCTGACTGCAGAGAACCAACTCTACCACCTGAGCCCCACCCACCCAGCTCTGTGTGTATTTTAAGCATCGTCATTCGCTGCCTTTGTGAAATCAGACATGTGTGACGGAAATGCTTGTTGTGTAAAATCATCATTACTCTTTTTGCACGTGACTGCTCCCTTACAATATCCTGTGCTACGTTATTCCAAGATCTCTCTTTTCTCCGTGTTGCTTTGGTGTTTCAATCCTTCCCAGATCTCGACGCCTTGTTAGACATAATATGAGTGAGGGATTTACCGTGAGGCTGTAGGGCCTGCGTGGATATCACTGTGATGCATTGGTCTGGGGAAATCATTCAGTGTAATGTGGAAGAATGTTTGATAAATAGCAAATAAAGAAAAGACGGGAGATGAGAAAAAGATGTTAGGTTCAGACTTTGCTCTAACTTAATTCCACAACTGAAGAAACCAATCTCTTTGCTGTTATAATTTGTCATTTTTTTTACAGTGAAATTTAATAAATTCAAAACAGAACCACAGATCTGCAAAACACTGGACCTCTGATACAAAGTACTGAGTATTTAGTAGCTTTATACTGTAGCTTTACTTAAAATGAGTTGTTTAGAAGCTTTTTTTTCCAAAACAAAAACCACTTGGTCAAATCCAAAAGCACTTTATTGCAAATTGAGTATTTTGGCCTGAGTTTCCTCTGCTGCCAGAGAGGATGTAATGGCGCACTTGAAGATGATTCAACAGTTGAGTTACGCACTAACAGTAGCACTTACTGTTTTCATCTGATCCAGCACCAGTGGGAGACATGCACTTTTATGAATTTTAAAGGGATGCATGAGTCACGTCGGGGAGCCGTTCATTATCGAACCTTGTATACAAAGAAAGTGGTGCGCATTGTCGCTTCCAGCAAAACACGTCATATAGGAGGTACGCACTGAGTCATCCGTGTGAAGATGGTCACTTGATTGAAGTGCACCTCTTTGTGAGTGCTGTGGAGCCAAAGGCTAATCCTCGTCTTTCTGATGGTTGACTTTGTTAAAAATTAACCACATTTCATCTTGTTCATTATTCAGTATTCACCCCTGTGTCCACGTTGATTGTTCTTTACATGAAACATGACCTGTGGGGTATGTCTCATGGGTTCAGCCTGACTCAGGCGTTACTGACGGGTTTTGTGATGGTCAGTGCGTTTCCTACTTTTTGACTGCTGCTCATGTTTGATTCATGCCCACCACCACCTTAGTCAGCACAATCACTCCTCATCTGTTCAATCTCTCAGCTTCTCGTCCTCATCACGTATTTGCTCTGATAACTTTGGATCTCTGATATTGGCCCGTGTCCACAGTCATGTTAATATTTCGCTCCGCGGTGACTTTCTGAATGGAAGATTCAGGAATTATTGTCGACATTTGAATGCACGTCATCGAACATTTCTCATTTAAACGATATTTTCTGGAATTTCATTCATTCACCTCTCGAGTGTCTCCGTTGTATAAAAGATCCCAGGTTTGATTCCAGTAGGAGACACAAATCTCTTTGGGGTTGTGTTAAGTAAGGCATCCAGTGTAAAGACTCTGCCAAATCAAACATGGGCAGATACGTGCTGTGCAACCCCTTGTGAATAAGGAAGCACCTGAAAGTAGCTATATCACTTCTCAAGTCTCTTTGAGCTAACTTGCACAAGAACGTTACTGACTTCCTCTGTGGGTGAGCTTAAATTACAAGTATTGTTGGCAGCCTAGATTTTAAATACTTTCATCCCCATCTGTTTCACTTTCTCATAATTCATGTGCTTCCTATCTGACATCTCCTGTACTTCTTAATTACACCCTCTTTCTGTAGCTTCGATCTCACCAGTTCTTTGAATGTCAGTTTTTTAATATGCCAGCCTTTTCCCCGAAATACCAAAAGTCGCCCCTTTTATTGGAATTTCAGCAGTCCTGAAATTAGTGTATGCATCAGAGGATTTGCAATGTGCCCTCTCAAGCTGAAGTTTTATGGAGTTTTTTTTTTATCTATTAAGTGGTTGCATGTGATATTAACTTAAAAAAAAATGTTGTCCACAAAATCCAGTGACTGTCACTCAGACTTGCTTCGAACAAAACTGTGTGAAGATTAAAAGTTAATAAGGATTCCTGTTCCTTTCTTTCATTTTCTCCAGGTAAATATGCAATGAGAGATTTGATCCATCGGTTACCAGGCAGCAGCAGCAGCAACAATAATGCAACCAGCAGTGGGACCTCTGGAACCACAGGCCCTCCCAGCAAGGCCATGTCAGATGACACAGTGACTGCCATCTGTTGCGCACTGCATGAAGTCATCACCAAAAACATGGAAAACGCAAAAGCTCTACGTGATGCCGGTGGCATCGAAAAACTCATTGGCATTGCCCGCAGCAAAGGAGACAAGTGAGTAACTACTAAATTTTTAAAATGAAAATTTACTTCTACCAAAAACCGCTTAGCAGTAAACACCGGTTTATTTTACACTATAAGATCTGCATCATGAAATGCTAAAATACCACATCTTCTACAGCACTTTAGATACACTATTATCTAAAGGACAATATGGGACTTATTGTATAAAATGTCTTTATAAAAACGTCCTTAATCTAAAACCTGAGCACCTGTTTAAATTTCTCTTAGCTGTTTGGGATTAGTTGAACCTGATAAATAGCAAAGATTTCTGAACAGAATACATATAACAATAATAAATAAATAAACTAAAATGATAAATGCTTGAATAGAAATGATGTCCTGACATCGGGGGGATAGGTTTAGTTTACAGCATTCTTTAATGTACTGAAGTCCCGTGTAAGAGGTCTGGACATGACATGAAAAAGGCATCCATTTCCCAAGCACCCTGGGGGAACAACTTCTCTATGAAAAAAAAAAAACAATGCTGTATTTTTTATTCAACAAATTCAAAAGTTCAGGAGTATAAAATCCTCAGGATGAACTAAGGCCAAAACAACAAACAAACAGAACTAAGCATCAACACAAACTCAGATGACCTGCCTGAAAGTAACAAATGAAAAACAATGGGCTTACCTCTCTAGTTTAGCAAAGCAAGAGAAAACAATTGGCAGCTCACCCCTTCTTACTCCTCTTCTTCTAGACACAGATGTAGCCACTTGAATGACAAAGGAAACAAATGATTCTCTGCAGATGGCGGCCATCTTGGCTCCACACCAGTGTTGGTAAAGTTACTTGAAAAAAGTAATCAGTAACGTAATCAGTAAGTTTTAATCTTTTAACTTTATGCATCAAAGGAGCTGGCAAAGAAAAGCGTCTGGACTTGTTTAAGTTGCTTGAAGACGTTTCAAAAGAGCACCAAAACACAGACTTAACAATGTGGTGTATGCTGTACAGTGCAGCGAGGAATGCCCAGACCTCTACATTGGAGAGACCAAACAGCCACTTCACAAGCGCATGGCACAACATAGAAGAGCCACCTCCACAGGACAAGACTCAGCAGTCCATCTGCATCTAAAGGATAAAGGACACTCTTTCGAGGATGCCAATGTTCACATTTTGGACAGAGAGGACAGATGGTTTGAAAGAGGAGTGAAAGAAGCCATCTATGTCCACTGTGAGCGACCATCTTTGAACAGAGGCGGTGGTTTACGACACCAACTCTCTGCCATCTATAATCCAGTTTTGAGATCCCTTCCCAGACGCCTTAACGCCCACTCACATCCTGGGCCATCTGACCTCAGGAAATCGCATGATAAGGTGGGGCCAGGTTTCACAATGAGCTCACCCGAAACCCTGGCTGATTGGGACCCACACCCATTTTCACACCTTGGCTCATGTGATTAGAGGATCATCAGGGGGTCCTTTTGTCCCTCTTTGGGGGGAAACTCCCACTGGGTTTAAATCTGGGACTCTCCATTTGACCTTAGAACTGAAGAAGCTTCTCGGATGAGAGGTGAAACGTCTTCAAGCAACTTAAAGAAGTCCAGACGCTTTTCTTTCCAAGCTCCTTGACTCAATGACCTGGATGACTGAGAACCTTCACAGACTTTATGCATCAAGCAAAAATTTAATTATATGCAACATTCTCTGACTGGAAGAAATTGTTTAACATTTAAACCTATTTTCTGCACATTCCAGCACATAAAATAAAATATTTTTTGTGTTTACACTCAGCTCTTTCAAATAGATGCAAGTAAAACACAGCAGAAAATAAATAAAGTCAAAGACTCAGCGGTCCTGTTGCTCTATTTTCACCTGTAAAGCAGGACTGGGGTAGGCGGAGGTTTACCCTGGTGCAGGTGTGCCGCAGCGTCAGTGAAGAATCCGCGAGTTTCTCTGTGAATTTCCCATTACGTCGTAGCGCACTCGGTGCTTGCTTGGAAGTTTAGGGGTGTTTTTTCGCTGTAAAAAGAAGTTTTCTTCCCACGCACAACGGACACTAATGTTTTTGTCACTTTTTATGGAATCAAACTCAAAGTAAGGTCAGTACTTCCACGCTTTAAACGCTGCACGCTCATACTCTCTCCCGCACTCGATATATTATCCATTGTTGATCTGCACACAGCTGTTGTCACGAACGTCGCACTCGCTTACGTCACTGTCATGAGACATTCTCGCAAAAAATCACGGTTTTAGTAACGCAGTCGATGCTTACGGGAAAGTAACGGTAATCTAATTACAGTTTTTGCAATAGTAATT